AAGAAGAAGAAGAAGAACAACAACAACAACAACAACAACAACAACAACAACAGAGTCCATGATTAGGAGCTAGGGGACAAGCTAAGCTGGGCTGGGGCTAATGGGAAATTGAAGATATTGAAATACAGTGGTGCCTCGCAAGACGAAATTAATTCGTTCCGCAAGTCTCTTCGTCTTGCGGTTTTTTCGTCTTGCGATGCACGGTTTCCCATAGGAATGCATTGAAAATCAATTAATGCGTTCCTAGGGAAACCGCCTTCAGACCAGGTCCGGGGACAGACTGTCCCCGGACCTCTTCTGAAGGCTGGGGGGGGGGGACAAGGGCTTTTCTTCCCACCCCCAGCATTTTAAAAAACCCCGGGACAGCGGAGGGCTTCTCCGCTGTCCGGGCGATCTTAAAATGCTGGCGGGCGGCATTTTAAAATCGCCCCGGGACAGCGGAGGACTTCTCCACTGTCCGGGGCGATTTAAAAGCCCCTGGGAAGGCAGGCAGGGGGGACAAAGACTTTCGCCCCCCGCCCGCCTTCAGAAGGTGTTCCCGCCCCCCCCCCGCCCGGCTTCGCAGCAGCGCTACGAAGCCCGGCGGCTGGGGCAGGTGTTCCCGCCCCCCCACCCCACTTCGGAGCAGCGTTCCGAAGCGGGGTGGCTGGGGCAGGTGTTCCCGCCCCCCGCCCGGCTTCGCAGCAGCGCTACGAAGCCCGGCGGCTGGGGCAGGTGTTCCCGCCCCCCCACCCCGCTTCGGAGCACCGGGAGAAGCGATCTCCCCGCAGCCCCTTGCTTCAAAAGAGGTCCGGGGGCAGACCTCTTTTGAAGCAAGGGGCGGTGGGGAGAAGCGATCTCCCCGCCGCCCCTTGCTTCAAAAGAGAAGACCCGCTGTCCCCGGGGCAAGCTTCGTTTTGCAAAGCAAGCCCATAGGGAAATTCGTCTTGCGAGGCAACTCGAAAACGAAAAAACCTTTCGTTTTGCGAGTTTTTCGTCTCGCGAGGCGTTCGTCTTGCAGAGTACCACTGTATTTTATTGTCACTTGTACAACTTGTATACAGTGAGATTACACGAGCTCCCCCCACTCAGCTCTCTTAGTCTTAATTCCCCTCGTTTACTGACGCACACCCACCAAACCCAAAAGTCAGTTGCCCTGTTGTTATCTTTTCATTCAGCAGCCTAACAGCCCACGGATAGAAGCTCTTCTTTACCCTGTTGGTGCGACTAATCCTGCTTCTATATCTTCTGCCCGAGGGCAGGAGATCAAGAAAGTGCCGGACAGGGTGTGAACCATCCCTGAGAATTTTCCTCACTCTCCTGAGGCAACGATCTTCTGCTATTTCATCCAGCCCATAATATCTTGTGCTGTATTCACCACCCTCTGTAGGCGCTTCCTATCAGTTGATGTCAAACCAGCGTCCCACACCGTGATGCAGTATGAAAGGACACTTTCTATTGTGGACCGGTAGAAGGAGATCATCAAATGTTAATTGACATCGTTCTTTCACAATACTGCAGTAATAGAATCATATGCAGTTAGTGGCCCTCCAGCCTCTGCTTAAAAACCTCTGAGGAAGAAGAACCCACAATTTCCTGAGAGAGACTATTCCACTATTAAACAGGTCTTACTGCTAGAATTTCCCCCCTGAATTTAGTTGCACTCTTCTTTCATGTAATTTGAATCCACTGCCCTCTGGAGCAGCGGAAAGCAAGCTTGTTCCATCCTCCTTTAGATACCTGAAGATGGCTATCTACTATGTGTTCTCTTCTCCAGACTAAACATCCCCAGCTCCTTCAACCGTTCCTCATCAGGCTTGGCTTTCAGACTGTTATGTACTGAGTTGAATAGGATCCAAAATGCAGCAGTCTGACTGGTCCTAGAACAATAGGATCCAAAATGCATCAGTCTGATTGGTCCTAGAACAACAGGATTCAGAATGCAGCAGTCTGATTGGTCCTAGAACAATGCAGCAGTATGATTGGTCCACAGGAGCCACCCAATCCAGCTCCAGGTGGAAGTGAATCCACAACCTGATTGGCCTACAGGATAATTCCGGAATTAGCCAATCATATGCAGCCCATTGTGTAAATAATGTATATAAAGCAGACGTTCTTGGGGAACTTCCATTCCTCCTCACCGCTATGAGCTGAATAAAGAGCATGAAATCCACTCTCGACTCCGAGTATATTTCACAGACCCTTGATCATCTTGGTGGCCTTCCTCTGCACACCTTCCAGCTTTCCAATGTCCTTCTTGGCAGCTGGAGGGCACCAGGTTGGAGGAGACTGTGCCACGATCCCCACAGATCAATAAACCTTCTTGCCCAGCCGCTGCTGACAGCAAAATGCCGGGTGGTTCCAAATTGCTAATAGACTAATGGGAAACAGTTTGGAGCTTGGAAGCGCTTTGATCTCTATTTATCAGGTACCAATGCCAGAACGACCTCTCTGGAAAGACCCGCTCTATCGATTCCCCCTGCTGATTAATGCCGATCTCCAAGTTTTGAAAGGCAACGGCTGCTCGAGGTCAGAGGCAATTATCCTGTTATTGGAAACCCAGAACTACACGGTTTCGTACATTATTTTTTTTCCTAATGGATTCCAGCGCTACCCTCTCTCGGGGTCTCAGGGCAAACAAAATGTGATTGATTTGTTTACTGAAAAGAAAGGCTTTCATATCCCTTCCTCTCATGATGGCCCACCCACCCCTTCCAAGCTTTCACACAAAAAGGGCAAAATATCATAAACGGAAGGAAGGTATCGTGACGACAGGAACGTGGTGTGTTGATGTTTGTGCTGCTACACAGACTTTTCGCAAGACAGCTACATCACACATAATGCTCCTATTTCTGTTCTGGTTTTTTAAATATCATTCCTGGCGGAACTGCACTGGCTACCAGTTAGTTTCAAAGTCCAATTAAAAGTGTTGGCTTTGACCTATAAAGCCTTGTGAAGTTCAGGACTCCAATAACTCAAGAACAACATCTCCCCTATTATTGTTGTTGTTGTTGCTGCTGCTGCTGCTGCTGTTGTTATTTCCCACATTTTGCCTTGTGCCTTGTGCAGTTCAGGACCCCAATAACTCAAGGACCACCTCCCTCTCTTCTTCTTCTTCTTCTTCTTCTTCTTCTTATTATTATTATTATTATTATTATTCCACCTCACTCTTTCCATTAAAGATATATATATTGGCAATTTTTGATGTAAAATAAAGTAAGAATCAAACTAGTTTGGAGAACAAGAATATGCTGCCAAGGAGTGTGGTGGAGTCTCCTTCTTTGGAGGTCTTTAAGCAGAGGCTTGACAACCATATGTCAGGAGTGCTCTGATGGTGTTTCCTGCTTGGCAGGGGGTTGGACTCGATGGCCCTTGTGGTCTATTCCAACTCTATGATTCTATGATTCTAATATTAAAAAGAACCAAAAGATATATAAGCAAGAGAAAAAAGATGGGGGAAAATACCTATAAGGCCCTTCATTCTCTTTATATCATATATAGGTAAAGGTAAAGGGACCCCTGACCATTAGGTCCAGTTGTGACCAACTCTGGGGTTGCGGCGCTCATCTCGCTTTATTGGCCGAGGGAGCCGGCGTACAGCTTCCGGGTCATGTGGCCAGCATGACTAAGCCGCTTCTGGCGAACCAGAGCAGCGCACGGAAACGCCGTTTACCTTCCCACCGGAGCGGTACCTATTTATCTACTTGCACTTTGACATGCTTTTGAACTGCTAGGTTGGCAGGAGCTGGGACAGAGCAACGGGAGCTCATCCTGTCGTGGGAATTCGAAGCGCCAACCTTCCGATCGGCAAGTCCTCTGTGGTTTAACCCACAGCGCCACCCGCGTCCCTTATATCATATATATCCTGTCATTTATCCACAAACAGAGATATAGACCCTCTCATCTCCCACCTGGGAGATCCTTTCAACCCTGCCTTTCCTGCAGTGATTCCCCTCCTCTGACCGTCCCCTTCCTGTTTGTGTCCCTCTCAGTCCAATGAAAAGGAATTCTTTCTCCACACCGCCCCCGCCCCTCCCCCAGCTTTTTATGAAAGTTAAAAATGCCAAGAGAAAACAAGAGAAATAGGAAATAGAAAAAGAAAACAAACAGAACAGTGGTCCAAACACTGGAAGTCCTTCTTGGCTGCTGCCTTGTGCACAAACACCCAACATGAGGGCTAGAAGCATGGTTTGATATTTTAAAAAAACGAGGGGAAATGATTGACTGGAACGGACAGGTTTGCCCAGGCATATTTAGATGTCTTCCCAAATCCGAATCCCCCCAAAACAGGCTCCAAACACCTGTAATGTGACCCCAGTGCAAAGCAAACATCACAGCAGGTCAAATTCCCTAAACTGGAAAGGCGTTTCTGTCAGGGTGCAAAACAGGGTGTCGGTCGCCTACACAGCCAAATATCTGGCTTAACTCTGAGCTGCTGCCTGAAACATTTACAACAGGGTTTTGGGGTGCGGGTGCTCAGTTTGCGAGAATGAATCCCACCCCCGGCAAACTTTCAATAATAATAATAATAATAATAATAATAATAATAATAATAATAATAATAATAATTTATTTATACCCCGCCCATCTGGCTGGGTTTCCCCAGCCACTCTGGGCGGCTTCCAACAAAACACTAAAATACAATAACCTATTAAACTTTAAAAGCTTCCCTAAACAGGGCTGCCTTCAGATGTCTTCTAAAAGTCTGGTAGTTATTTTTCTCTTTGACAGCTGGTGGGAGGGCGTTCCACAGGGCAGGCGCCACCACCGAGCAGGCCCTCTGCCTGGTTCCCTGTAACTTGGCTTCTCGCAGTGAGGGATCCGCCAGAAGGCCCTCGGAGGTGGACCTCAGCGTCCGGGCAGAATGATGGGGGTGGAGACGCTCCTTCAGATATACTGGACCGAGGCCGTTTAGGGCTTTAAAGGTCAGCACCAATACTTTGAATTGTGCTCAGAAAAGTACTGGGAGGGATCGCTGCCGCAAAACTTGCCCGCTGCCGCAGAAAACGCATGTTGCTTACCTAGCCCTTGGTTCTGTTGTTCCCATTCGATGGCGCTTGGCACTTGGTAGGAGACCCCAGAGAGCTCCCCGGCTGGGTTTTCGAGCCCTTCCAGGGGTTCCTGAGACGTCTCCCCAGGGAGAGTGAAGCTGGACAGGTTGGCGTCTTCGTCCAAGCTTTCGTCCATGGAATTTGGGTCCCTCTCCTCTTCGTTGCCATCGTCTTCCTCATCTGCTTCCTCCTCCGGCTCCTCCTCTTCTTCTTCCTCCTCCTCCTCCTCTTCTTCCTCCTCCTCTTCTTCCTCTTCCTCTAGAAAGGCAGGAGAGAGAAGAACAAGCACAATATTGAGAAAGACACAGTGGTCTATTGATATAACCAGAGTCCACAAGAGGGATGGCCGCAAGAAAGTGGAAGAAGCATCTATGCAGAAAGACTGGACGGGTGATGACCATTTTGTTGTGCTAGAGGCCATGCAGGAATCTCAGTTACAGCATCCAGGGCAAATAATAATAATAATAATAATAATAATAATAATAATAATAATAATAATATATTATTATTTATATATATATAGGTTTGACCAAACTGCGGGAGGTAGTGGAGGACAGAGGTGCCTGGCGTGCTCTGGTCCATGGGGTCACGAAGAGTCGGACACGACTAAACGACTAAACAACAACAACAACAACAAATTATTTATACCCCGTCTTCACTGGTTCCGATTTGAAAGAGAGGTAGAACCGGGTATCATCCACGTACTGGTAGACACCCAGCCCAAACCTCCTGATGATCTCTCCCAGTGGCTGCATGTAAATGTTGAAAAGCATGGGGGAGAGGACAGAACCCTGAGGCACCCCACAAGTGAGGGCCCAGGGATCTGAAGACTCAACCCCCAACACCACTTTTTGGACACGGCCCAGGAGGAAGGAGCGGAACCACTGTATAAGAGTGCCCCCAGCTCCCAGCCCCTCTAGACGGTCCAGAAGGATGTTATGGTTGATGGTGTCAAACGCCGCTGAGAGATCCAGCAGAACTAGGAAACAACTCTCACCTTTGTCCCTAGCATGCCAGAGATCACCAACCAAGGCGGTTTCAGTCCCATGGTGAGGCCTGAATCCCTACTGGAAGGGATCCAAATGGTCTGTCCGCTTCTTCCAGGCGTGCCTGGAGTTGTTCAGCAACCACCCGCTCAATCACCTTGCCCAAGAATGGAAGATTTGAGACTGGGCGAGAGTTGGCCAAATTGGCCGGGTCCAAAGATGTGGTTTTTTTAAGAAGCAGTTTAATAACTCCCTTCCCTTTCAGTATTCCTGACCATGGGATCTCACCCAGAAGCTCCTTAATCTGAAATGTTGCAGGATAAATCTGCAGGGAGAAGCCCCCCAGGAAGAACATAAGTCTTTCTGGGCCATACCGATGTCCCATCAGGTCCAGTATCCTGCTCTCAGTGGCCAATCAGATATCTCTGGGAAGCCCGAAAGTGGGACCCATGGGCAAGGAAGGGCACTTATATGCAACAGCAGCAGCAAGAGTACTGTTAGACCAAAAATGGAAGCAAGAAGAAATTCTGACGAAAGAAGAATGGCAGACGAAATTAACGGACTAGGCAGAATTGGACAAAATGACAGGAAGGATTTGAAATCTGCGGGACCAGAGATTTACAGAAGACTGGAAGAAGTATATGAATTATTTGAAGAGCAACTGTAATCAACAAATTACGCTAGTAGGACTACAAGAAGTTTTGTAAGGAGAAATATATGAAGTGTTACAAAGTAGAAAAAAGATAGAGATATTGGTTATGAGTTTGAAATGTAATAGGGAAAATAAGAAATGCATACTAAGAGATTAGATTGGAAAATTTTCAGACATGACTGATGGAAGTCAAAAAAACTGAATAAGATATAAAAGTATGTTTAATTATCGTTGAAAATGGTATGTTAGAAAACTTATATATGTATATATTTAAAAGAAAGGGCGCACTCCTCTCTTGCGATTCCTTCCAGCAACTGCTCTTGGGGGCTTCCAACTGTGGAAGCCAACCCGAGCCATCGTGAGTAGCTAATAGCCATTTGCTCCATGGAGGAGCCCAGCCTGGAGATTTATTATTATTATTATTATTATTATTATTATTATTATTATTATTATTATTTTGTTAACAGAGAAATCTAAGGGCTCCCTTGGACAAAAAACAAGGACACCAGCCAGGAATACCAGAGCAAAACAGCAGCCAGTAGGCTTGGTCTTTCTTGAAGACTGTCGTGACAGGACTCCCACCTGCCACAAGGTGGAACAAGATGGAAGCCCCAAACAGAAGAGCCCCCAACTTTTATTAGCTGCTAATCCCCATGTTGCACCCCCCTAAACTACATCACTAATACATCACGGTTACATCATGAAAGGGGAGGTCTGGTGGCAGTAATCTGAGCATCCTGGACCCTGCCCCATGGTTCCCCTTGCCCTCCACCAAACACCCATCAAGTGTAACAAAAGAGATCTTTGCATTTCCCTGTTTCCCAGCCCAGTGAATCACACCCTTTTATCTTCATCTGGGTTTGTTATGTCTGGAATGGCTACCTGTCTGGCCATTTATCACCCAGGCAGAGGGGCTGCTGAGTAGCTGAGCTCACCTGTCTATATGAATTTCTGAAGTTTTCCCAGTGAGCCAGTACATAGATGCATTTATCAGTGAATTGTTAACATTTGGTATCGTGCAGCAAAGGCCCTTTGAATAGATAGGAATAGATAGGAAGAAACTGTGATGAAGTGTTTTCTGGGGACAAATCACAAAAGTCACAAAAGCGATTGTGATTATTTTGGTAGTGGGCTGCATGTGCATGATATCTGCTGGAGGGGCAGCCCCCCAAGGGAACAAAAAAGGGGCAGGAACCACAATCATCGGGAAGTCTCATCGGGAAGTTGTGGGTTGCTGCAGCGCCATACTGCCTGGCATTTGGGGCCAGCGGATAGCTCAGCTGGTTAGAGCTTGGTGCCGATAACGCCAAGGTTGCAGGTTCAATTCTCCCTATGGGGCAGCTGCATATTCCTGCATTGCAGGGGGTTGGATTTAGATGACCCTCAGGGTCCCTTCCAAACCTATGATTCTATGTAGAAAGGCTCTGTTTTCTCCTAAAACATTTTGCCCTAATGCTCTGTTCCTGATTAAATTGCTCAGAAACAATAGGAAACACTGCCATCTCTTGGTCACCGGGAAGAAGTGCAGTCTTCTAGATAAAGTTCCGCCAGCGCAGAGGTTGTCGTCACCTACCGGTTTTTTTTCACTCCATAAGACGCACCTGAACATAAGACGCACCTAGTTTTTAGAGGGGGAAATGCAAGAAAAAAAATATTCTTTAAAGGGAGCTTTGAGCAGAACCTGTATGCATCCCAGGCTCTGCTCAGCACTCCCTTTCACGAGCCACGTGAAGTTTGTGTGCGGCGCTTGCAGGCTTTTCCCTGAGGAGAGAGGAAGCCCCCAAGAGCCGCACACACGCTCCACGTGGCTCTTTAAAGGGAGCACAGCTCTTGGGGGCTTTTCCGGGAGGTGGGGGAAGGGACTGAGGGGTTAAGCTAGAAGCTAGAACAGCGAGAGGGAGCACTGAGCAGCGATCCCTCTTGCTGCTCAGTGCTTCTGGCTTAGCCGCGCAGCCTGAATTCGCTCCATAAGACGCACACACATTTCCCCTTACTTTTTAGGAGGGAAAAAGTGCATTTTATAGAGTGAAAAATACAGTAACTGCAGGCAGAAATGCAACAAAATCGGAACCATAGAATTGTAGAGCTGGACTAGGGTTTCCTAGTCCAACGCAGGAAACTTTTGGCCCAGCGCAGGTCTCGAACCCGCAACCCTGAGACCAAGAGTCTTGTGCTCTGCCGACTGAGCCAAAGGTTCCTTAAAACAACCTCCTTTACTGAATATTCATCCTGATTTTCTCGCCACAAAGCTTGTGTGTTCATTCGGATTTGCATGCAGGGGTTATTCGCCAGAGGAGGGGCTGTGTGGTATTGCGGTTAGAGCACCAGAGGAGAATCTGGGAGGCCAGGGTTCAAATTCCTATTTGGCCATGAAGCTCACTGCAGAAGGTCAATCTTCAATGGCATCTCTGGGTAGGTAAAGGTAAAGGGACCCCTGACCATTAGGTCCAGTCACAGACGACTCTGGGGTTGCGGCACTCATCTCGCTTTATTGGCCGAGGGAGCCGGCGTACAGCTTCCGGGTCATGTGGCCAGCAGGACCAAGCCACCTCTGGCGAACCAGAGCAGCGCACGGAAACGCCATTTACCTTCCCACCGGAGCGGTACCTATTTATCTACTTTCACTTTGACGTGCTTTGGAACTGCTAGGTTGGCAGGAGCAGGGACCGAGCAACGGGAGCTCACCCCGTTGCGGGGATTCGAACCGCTGACCTTCTGATTGGCAAGTCCTAGGCTCTGTGGTTTAACCCACAGCGCCAACTGCGTCCCTCATCTCCAGGTAGGGCTGGGAAATATTCCCTGCCTGACACCCTGGGGAGCCGCTGTCAGTTCAGACAGTCCTGAGCAAGATTAGACAATGGTCTGATGCAGTATCAGGCAGTTTTCCTATATCACACAAGACCCTGCCTTTCACGCAAGTTTGGGTTTCTTTGGGTGCTGTTTGAAAATGCAGGGAGAGAGAGAGAAGGTAGAAGTTTGCTGAGCCAAACGACCTTCTTTGCAAACTCATTTTCATTTTCAACAGCACTGCAGAGAATCAGCAGAATGTTTGCTTTTTGGAAAACAGTTTGTAATTAGGGCTCTGATGGCCTTCTAATTCTTTTCTCTTCATATACATGCATCTCCCTCCCAATTATTTGCATTCAGAACAAAAATGTTCTTACTTTTTGCAACTTTTTTTTAAAAAAGGAAAAATCGAGAGGCCCCATGGGAAAGCCTCTGTTGAGACACATATGTAGATTCATGTAGAATTGGAGGGGGGACATTTGTGCTCCCCCCACATTTGTTTGCTAGTTTGTTTAATGTATATACCACCATTCACCCACAGATCTCAGTGCGGTTCACAATATGTTGTTGGACTACAACACCCATCATCCATGATCACTGGCTGTGTTGGCTGGCGATAATGGGAGCATTTTCAGGCTGAGGGAGCCAACGTTTGTCCATAGACTAAACCGCTTCTGATGCAACGAAACACCGTGACGGAAACCAGAGCACACAGAAACGCCATTTACCTTCCTGCCACAGTGGTACCTATTTATCTACTTGCACTGGTGTGCTTTCAAACTGCTAGGTTGACAGGAGCTGAGACAGTGCAACGGGAGCTCACCCTGTCACGG